TTTAATGCCTACAATTAGGCTATACACACTTGTGGTTCACCCTCCTTGGAACCTGCCAGAGTTATCTCTATATGGAGTAGTTGTAAGGTCCTTCCTTATGGATTAGTGCAGTTATCCTGTGTCAGCTGCTTATCCCTGCAGGGATTGATCCCTCCCTTCAGCTGTTAAATATCACCTACTAATCCTCTTTATTCGTTCCTCAGCATGCAAAAAGAGAATGGAAACATGGTGCTTTATCCTTAAAACAATTTATTCCCACAATCCAGGTAATACACTCACATTAAAAATATATAAAAAGCATTCAGTGTCATGAAAGCCTGTGCCAGCCGCCGCAGCATGTACTTGCCGTCTGCCGTTTGCTCTCTCTCCTTCCGAGTGACGTCGTAGCCCCACCCCAGGTGTGGCATATATCTTTATCAATTGGAGGATTGGAGGATTCACGGAAAGTCACAAGTTGATGATTAATGATCACCTTATCCCTAATATTGGACTACTTTGGATTGATGGGACTAATATTATTTATATAAAAAATTTCAAATTGATTTTATGGCACAATATTTTGATTATATAACACTGTCACTAGTTATTATTGATTTTTTTTATGGTGTGGTATATCAAAGGAGGGATATATTATTTTGGTATTTTGGTAATAAGGAGTGCTACATTCAGAGGTATATTATTTAATTTGCACAGTTGTAGTTATGTGTTTAATGTTGGTGATCCATTAAAGTAATTTAGTAGGTTTGGCTCGCAAGTCACATATATATATAAAATTATAGACAGTATCACTAACACGAAGCCATGTTCTGCAATCAAAGTCCTTGGGATGAACAATAATTGCTTGTTGCAAAGCTCTGTTATTACAAAGAGTAAGTTAATGTCTATGTGTATCAATTGTGGGCTAAAAATATACTGTTGAAATACAAACATGTAAATGTTACTCCTGATAAAATAGTTCAATTGGTTCATTCATTATAAAAAAGATGTCTACCATAACACTATGATTGATCTATTTTGTCTATAAAACTATTTTTTTAGTGGCACAGAAATTTCCAAATTACCATTGGCTCATGTGTTTCATTTTAAACCTCTCACTATAAATTATAAGCAGTGGCACAAATGTATGCCTATGGTTTAGGACGTTTGTTCAGTGGAGGATATAGAATTCTATCTATATTGTGTAATAGACAACAAAGACTTTAGTGTATGACAAGGACAAAAATGCTACTAGAGTTCCACAGATTGTGTATATGTTCTCCCAGATATAAGTGATGACAGTACTAGGGGGAAAATCTTCATTGTCAGCTAAATGAACCAATCTATACACACAGAATGGACTTTAAATGGTATGTAACAGACTGGAGCAAACATTGTAAACAATAAGCTATAGTAGTCGATTGTTGATCATCATCCAACTAAAATAGTAAAGGTATCTTTTACATCCACACTACAAATGCAGTGTATATACCATTAATAGATTATTAACAAAGTTTACCAAAGTTCCCTGGGCTCAGCCTTCAAACTGGCTTCCTGGCTATAAGCGAGAGATGTTTTTTATGAGTTGAGTATAAATAATAGATTCATTTCTGTTATTTATACTTCATTGAATTTCAGAATAGTTTCTCCCAATATGTAAAGAAACATGATGGGTGGATGATTGGTGTTTAGTTGATCTTTCTAAGGAGCTATGTACAAAGCAAAAAAAAAATGAAATTATGAAATCTAAAATTTGGACATTAAAATGTGAATGTGCTCCAATTAAATTGTTTCTTGCTAACAGGTCAGTGTACAGAAAAGGATTCAAAAAGTCATTTGCTGAATGGTTTTTAAGGCAGTGATAATTTTATACATATTTTCATACCTTTTTTATTATGATCAGAACTAAAAACACTATTGGGGCCTCTGACAACAGGCTTCAGGGTTGTATCAATGACATCAGGTTGACACCTCACTTCTGAGATCATTCAGAATTTGACAGGTGCATTTGACCTACATCCTTCTCACCTGCATTTAACCAGCTTCAAACAGCTTTGACTTGTATGGAAGCGAAAAACACTTAAAAGCTATGTTTACCTGTTACAAAAAAATAATAAACGCACATATATATGCAGGAAACAATGTGCATTTTTTTAAATTTTTTTTTTATGCACAGGAGCCTGCAAAGCATTACATCCATGATAAGTAGACATGAGTGCAAGGCTAGGCTCCTACTGACTCTTCCTCCAGCTCTCCTTACCAAGGTACAGGCTTTTTGTTGGGGAGCTGGAGGAAGTGTCAATGTACTATGAGCGTGGTGATTAATACACTTTTGTTCCACTGAGAACTACAAGTCTGTCTGCTGTAGTGGCAGATTCCTGTGAATGGATGACAAGGCTATGCCAATTTCAACAGTGACAGCTGCTGTGGGGGTGAAGAACCCCTGTACACTGTCATAGGGTGGGGATACCCCATTTTCACTATGTTACATATTACATCCTAATTACAGGTGTAATATGTAACATGGTGCAAAAGGTGGAGTTAGCCTTTAAAGTGACTAAAAGCCCATTGACACAGGCCCTTAATCAGGTAAATGTGAAAGGTTGAAATGGATATTATGTAATCTATAATTATCTAACCAACAGGTGAAGCCCTTGGTCTTTTTCCCATGCATTCTCATCTCTCCTCAAAGTGGATATTTCCCCATTTTCACTAAAAATCATATCAACTCACAGCTCTGCATGCTAATAAGAAACCATCTTACATACATTAGGTAAACATAAATTTCTTTGCTTTTACTTACAATTATTGTTTTTCTGCTTCCTGGTTGAGTGAGGCACTGGTGATATAGCCCTGGCCTTACAGATGCATCCTAAGAAAGCTATATGATCTGTGCCTCCCCCCTCAAATGATGTGCACTGTTACATGTTCCAGACAGAGTTCCAGAAAGAAAAAGGAGATGGATTCATGTGTCCTTCGTGAAAATGTAGAAATTCTGAAGGACCCTCTGCACACTGGTATATACCCTTTCAACCCTTTAGAAAGGGTATATATTAGTGTGCAGAGGGTCCTTCAGAATTTCTAGAGTTAATGTGGTTACACCCCTTTAGCACCTGATGGATAAATGCATGCACTAGCTGTATGGATTTGAGCACAGGGATCTCTTGTTCTTCGTGAAAATGGTGACAAGAAGGATTGGGAGAAAAAGAAAAATCAGGTATGCAAAGGAATACTCTGCAATAATCTATAAGTATCTGTTTGTGGATTGCCATCAGTAAACATTTCAAAAAGTGCTTTGTGGTATTTATAAGATAAAGGTTAAAGCGCCTAGGCGATCGCAGCGGAAGTGGGAGGGGGTACCTGTCATATTCGGGTACCCGCTCCCCAAAGGTGCCAATCCTTAATGGGGAGTGGGGGACAAGGCATTAAAGTGGAACTTCACTTTTTGGGTGGAGCTCCGCTTTAAGTTCCTGTTTAAAACAATGTTGTAAAAAGTGTGTATACAAAGCTTAGCTCAAGTTGAAATTTACAAACAATTATTGATAACGCGATGACTCATCCCTTGTCAGATGGTTCAGGATGAACTTTCAATTACAATGGAATAGCCTAAAAGGGAGGTACGTCTGCGGTGCTCTCTTTAGCAAACCATAGTGCTCTGGCAATACTTTGTCATATTTAAAGTTTATTTGTAAAACAAGGGATAAAAGAAAAAAATTGGATAAAAAATGCTTTCTATTAAATATAAACTTAAGTAGCATCAAATTTACTCAAAAAGTATACAGATTAGGAAAGTCAGAGAAAAGTGAAGCATCCTTATCTGCACACTTATTCCAGGTACAGTAAATTACTAAATGTACTGACACAGTAGAGTCAGTACGAAAGCCAGGCAATTGGCATTGTCATAATGAGAAATCAGAAATGGCAGCCTCCATGTTTTTCCTTACTTTAATCTCAATGTGAAACTCATTGATGATTGGAGCTCTGAGTTTTTTTTTCCTGTTATAAGAATAGAAAATCCACTGCAATCACAAAGACCATTTTTGATAGAATAGTGCAAACACCAATAATGTGTAGTCACACAAAATAACCATACAGAAACCAGTTTGCCATTGTTTCACTAAATTAAGCTGTTCGGTGGTCACACCTGCTAGGTTGATGTGTTTCACAAAACGCCAATCCTCTATGTGCACCCACATAGCTTCATATGGTAAATGTATGCCCTTTAAATTCATAGTTTTACTTTTTGTGTACATTAAATATAAATTATTTTAAACATAATAATAACAAAACATAACCATACAATGTGATATATTTGTGACTCACCATCAGCCTGCACCCTGAAGGCTTTCGTTACACCAGTGCACTGTGCTGTGCCTTTTAAAACACAGCAAAGTACACAGGAAATATAACATAATACAGTCAGTGGTGATGTTCACACCAGTGTGCACTTTCTGTAGTGTACTTACTTATGTACATACACTATTTTGCCAAAAGTATTGGGACACAGTCTTTACATGCACATAAACTTTAATGACATCCCAGTCTTAGTCTGTATGGTTCAATATGGAGTTGGCCCACCCTATGCAGCTATAACAGCTTCAACTCTTCTGAGAAGGATGTCCACAAGGTTTAGCAGTGTGTCTATGGGAATGTTTGACTATTTTTCCAGAGGCGCATTTGTGAGGTCAGGCACTGATGTCAGATGAGAAGGCCTGGCTCGCAGTCTCCACTCTAATTCATCCCAAGGGTTTTCTATTGGGTTGAGGTCAGGTCTCTGTGCAGGCCAGTCAAGTTCCTACACCCCAAACTCAATCATCCATGTCTTTATGGACCTTACTTTGTGCACTGGTGCGCAGTAATGTTGGAACAGGAAGGGGCCATCCCCAAACTATTCCCACAAAGTTGGGAGCATAAAACTATCCATGTCTAGTTATGCTGACGCCTTAAGCGTTCCCTTCACTGGAACTAAGGGGCAAAGCCCAACCCCTGAAAAACAATCCCATACCATAATTCCCCCCTCCACCAAGCTTTACACTTGGTACAATGCAGTCAGGCAAGTACTGTTCTCCTGGAAACCACCAAACCCAGACAAGTTCATCAGATTGCCAGACAGAGAAACAGAATTCGTCACTCCAGGGAACACATCTCCCTTGCGTGATTTACACCACTGGCTCTGACACTTTGCATTGCACTTGGTGATGTAAGGCTTGGATGCAGCTGCTCGGCCATGGAAACCCATTCCATGAAGCTCGCTAGGCACCATTGTTGTGCTAATCTGAAGGCCACTTGAAGTTTGGAGGTCTTTTGGAGCTATTGATTTCTGCACACTGTGCACTTCAGCATGCACTGACCCCGCTCTTTAATTTTATGTGGCCTACCACTTCGTGGCTGAGTTGCTGTTGTTTCCAGTTGCTTCCACTTTGTTATAATACCACTAACAGTTGACTGTAGCAAGGAAATTTCACGGATGGACTTATTGCACAGGTGGCAAACAATCATAGTACCAATCTTGAATTCACTGAGCTCCTGAGAGCAACCCATTCTTTCACAAATGTTTGTAGAAGCAGTCTGCATGCCTAGGTACTTGATTTTATACACCTGTGTTCATGGAGGTGATTGGAACACCTAAAACCCATGATTTGGTTGGGTGTCCCAACACTTTTAGCAATATAGTGTATATCATGCTTACCACTTTGCCTGTAATGGGTTATGATGTCTAGGAAGCATATATGGTTCTGTACAAGGATCACAATGGAAAATGTGTTGACCCTTGAATTTATATCATAATTTTGTGAATGGAGCTTCACCCATTTTATGAACACATTTCTGTTAAAACTTTATAACATCATATACATAAAACACAAATGTCTATGTTTTACTAAAAGAGGTTCAGTGTTACAAAAATAAGTATCTTAAAAATAAAAAACAATTTGCCCATTGTTTACCCTGTTTGACATATAGCAGTCTGTGAAATGTAATTGATGTCCACGTCCCATTTATACATCTTATTAGTTCAAGCATCTGAACTTGTTCCCAGGTACTCCATCTCTGTGGATTTCTTTCCTCCGTGTTTTTTCTTGCGGAACTCAGCAGATATTTCTTCAAAGGACTTCCCTTTTGTTTCTGGAACTTTGAAGTATGTAAAAATGGTGAAACCCAATAGGAGTACTGCAAATATAATAAACACATAGGGCCCACAGGCGTCCTAAAAAGGAAAGCAAAACAACTTGTTAAAAAAATAAATTTTGTCAGCTGTTGCATATAGATATACAAATTAAAGCTAAAAAAAACACTGATCTTTTAAAGAGTACGAAAGTCCAATTTTTAATTATTTAATAGTTTACAGCATGAACATTTTTTAAATATATTGCTTTATAAACAGTTGCTAGTAGTGACACTAGATTTTCAGTGCTAGCACTGGAGTAGCTGCTTTCCATATAAAGTGTTATGAGCATTGCCCTGCCTTGCCCTCCATCACTGATGACCATGATTTAAAAAAAAAGGCAGCCAAAGCAACTTCTGATGTAAAAATGGTAGCTCTTTGTTTATCTGCATATCTCTCACTCCTGAATGTTGTGGATATATTCAAATTTGTATAGAAATTTTGTGTGTCCAATGCTTGCTTCGGATTCAGATGGCAACATTATGCAGTCACACCAGTTGGGAAATATTTCCTGAATATCTGAGTGGGAAAGATGTTTAAAAATTAGCTACCCACCACAAGCTGTCCTCAGTGAAGGAGAATAAATTTAAAAATATTATCTAGGCTTATAATAGGAGAAAATAGGGGAAAGGGGGCAGACAATGACTATTACACATCCCCCTCATTATCACAAGCACAGCTTCAACACTGATGTCTGCAGATCATGTGGCCAGCCTTGCTCTACACAGCCTGTGGCTGAAATCCTCAGATACACCCTTATTTATACTGGCATATGCATGCTGTAGCCTCTTTTTAAATCAATGGGGAACCTGTAAATTTGGATGGCCTTACCACTGAAGTAAGAAGAGACGGTGGCATGCATGGGTCAATACAGTTTGTAGCAATAGTCAAGATTTTGTAAATGGCCAATGGCCTACACCTACTGTATACCAAGAATATTATCCAACTTTGGCCAAAGCTACACAGCTTACATGCATAGGCACTTTTTGGTAAAGGTGAACTATTCCTTTAAAGAAAAAAAGAAGTACTTTTATACCACTCCCCTTTCATCATGAGCACAGCAGATCCTTTTCTAAAAGAGGTTTTCCATTGCACAGCTTCTGGCTGAAATTTTTACATTTGCTCCAAACTGTATTGACCCATGCATGCCACAGTCTTTTATAATTTCAGTGGTAAGGTTCAGACAGGCTTCAGAATGGCCTACACCTTAGATGTAGAAAGCAACCAGAGAAGAAGTTGCAAAGTATGCAGGGAATCCAGGAAGTTGTGGAAAGAAATGCCAGCAGACAGGCAGCACTCATAAAAATTAGATACTCTTTTAATTAAGCTTATAATGAATTGTCAAAAGTAAGTACTGTTTTTATTGATATTGCAATGTTTATTTTATAAAATGAACGTGTATTCTGGGGCCATGGAAATCTTTTAAGGAGAGCATGAAGGACTAAATCCACCCACACCATGCCCATCAAAAAAACAATGTACTATACTGAACTTTACTGCTTCATGAATAGACTTTTCATGAAGTAGACTATTTGAAGGAAAATATCACTTTCAAGGTCCAATTAAAATTAGAATGCAGAGCTACACAGAGCTAAATAAATATATGATACTTCTCTTTGTCTGAAATTCATACTCACAGCAATGTACTGGAAGCACATTCCAATTATGAAATTACAGCTCCAGTTGCAGAACCCAGACACAGCCATGGCTGCAGGCCGGGGACCCTGGCTGAATAGTTCGGCAACAATGAACCAAGGGATGGGACCAGGTCCAACTTCAAAGAAGACCACAAACAGGAAGATGGCAACCATACACAGATAGCTCATTCCAGCATGACTAGACTATAAAGAAAAAACAGAAATACATTTAATTTGTAAAGTAATACTGAATATATCAATATCTTCTAGATGAGTCACTTTCTAAAGTCAGTCTCACTCCTTCTCAACAACAGGCTTTGATTAGTTTAAAAAGTAGCCCAATATTGTTATTAAACTTTCGGTTAAGGGGTGGAATGTAGTACTGATGGATCGACCTAAATATGTCGAAATGTGTATGGATATATTGCAAAATCCAGCATGGTACAAACGCATTCCGGAGAGTAGAGCTATGGCCTTCCAAGATGAGTTCAAACATATCCTGGTCAAAGCACGCATTTACTGTATCATAAGAACACATATGATTTTTTATGTGTTCAACATCCTATTACCCCAACATTCTATTCCTTGTCGAAGGTGCATAAAAAACTAGATAGACCCCCAGGACGACCAATAGTGTCTGGTATAGGTTGCATCTCGTTGAATGCCAGTCATTTGGCAGATAATTATTTGAGACTTTTTGTAGTATCACTACCCTCTTACATACAAGATTCCTAGAGGTCTTTTGAGGATTATGGAAGATGTGACAGTCCCAATGGGGACGGATGACAAAGGTCCTACACAAACACTTACATCTTCTGAGAGATGATCCAGTGGTTGCTAAATATGTGGAACATATCTCCAAATCACATATAGATAGGCCAAGTCGCTACGAGATCACATAGCCACTTTCAGATTGCCCAGTACTCTGTCCCCCCCAGGCATCAACGGAGGGGCACCTATACATGTGGAAGGGTAATTTTTGTAACTGGATACATGTGGGGGCACTGTTTCTTTACCCAGTAGGAGGTTTTGGACCCCCAAATATGCTATTGACTGTCAAACAGTAGGGGTAGTATACTACATGGAGTGCTCTTAAAAAGCATTCTATGTAGGTAAAACAAAAAGATCCCTTTGGAAACACATTGGGGATCACATATACTTAATACAAAATGGAAAAACGGCGTTCTCCATATGCCTGCTTTTTGGCCTGTATCATAGCTTTAATTCTGATGTAATTCGATTTTTTGCTTTAGAACATGTAAGTTGCTCCCCAAGAGGGGGGGTGTTGACAAAGGACTCTTCCAACTGGAGACCAAATGGATTTTTCAGTTGGAAGCCACGAAACCACCTGGTATCAATGAAAATATACGTTTGAAACCCTTCTTGTAAATATAATGGCTATTCAGGAATTAAGCCTGTTCCCAGTTTGAGCTACTTGTAAATGTCTACTTAGATATTGTACTAATTTTTCTCTTATGGGGGGAGTTCTCACCTCATACAAATTAATGACTATGAACCTTTTTGGACCTGATATTTTATTACCCATTTACTAAGACTATGTTTAAAAATATGTGCCATAAATATTGATGCGTGTCATATTAAGGTGTCAGTTTTGTGTTACACCTGAACAGCTTTATTCCATGGTAATTATGATATATGCCTGGTAATATGCTGTGGTTAATTATGTTTCTGGTCCAGCTATATAGGGTCATAAATTATGCCACAGGATTCAATGGGAACAGATATATTGTGCTCATTAATTACAATCTGTTTTTTGGCCACAATATGGCGTGTGTTTTGATGTTTGTATGGGGTGATCTCGTGTTAGGACGGGGCGGGTGTTTATTGCCTCCTCCCTACTATCCCTTCTCAGATGTGGTCCAGAGATGTACACCTGCCCATTTCTGGGTTTTGGATTGACAGGGTGGTGGCTCGCCGTGGTCCCCCCACTTGCTGGGCGTGTGCAGTTAGCTGGCCAGTAACTATGGTACTGTGTTACTGTGCATGCGTGGCTGGAGGACCGCCTCAGCGTCGCCATGGCCATCCATTTTTGGCAGTGGGATGCCAGGGACGGCCACATAGGGTGGGTGGGTTTCTCTCACAACTCCCTCCTATATATAGCCCTTAATTCTATGTTCAGAATAGACACTCCTGAAAGTGCTGGCATTTATCATGGATGGAGAGGTACATATTTTGTTTGAGTCTGAGGGGCTCAAATGGTTGTATTGGGGGCAAGTATGTTCACGATCTTTTGAGATAGCCACTGTGCTACATTCGTTGGCAGCCCTCTTCTTATGTACACATATGTACACATACAGTATATCTTTCTATTTAGATTTTTCGTTGCCAATTTTTGAAAGATCCTTAGACCGCCTTACAGCTTTAAAGGTATTAGTACAAGTACGAATGTTATGGTGCATGGGACATATATGTAGTGTCTAGAGTTTTTGATGATGCTTTGATATCTTTTATAGATTAATACAGTCTTCTTCAGGCCACCCTCCTTCCCCTGTGTGCGACCTTTGGGGCTGTGGGCTGGTTCCTGATTGCCCTCTCCATTATGGTACCATCTTTTTGCCCATGTTTGCACCTGCTGATACATCCGTGAGAGTATACCCTCAATATGATACATCATTTCATCATTTTTGTTTTCTTTTTCTGAACATGTAAGTGTACTGATATATATATATATATATATATATATATATATATATATATATATATATATATATACACACAGTATATACACACTAAAGTGCTTGTATTTCTGAAAGTGTACGTTATTATATTATTATTGTACAGTATTTACAGGTCGATTGAAGGAATTGAAGGGCCCTGCTTGTGGAGCTTACAATCTAAATACATCATGTTATTTTGGCTTTTTGCACTTTTAGCAGCAAATCACAACTGTACCCCCTGAACCCCTGAAGAAGCTAAAATGCGAAACACATCGAGACCTTACACACACATCCTAACTTTCATAAACTGGCACATTGTGACAAGCAATATATGATATCATGTGGGAGAGGAAATGCATTATGGGGTTTGTGATATTGAGGACAAAAATGTGATTCTGTTGTCTCAGTACTTTTTGATCTTACCTTTTGGGAATATTTAATATTACACTCATTTTTAAACTATTTGTAACAATAAAAGCTGTTCGTTTTATAAATAATGGTTGTTATTGCTCTGAAAGAAGGTATCAGAACCTAAAAAAATCCCAACTTTTTAAAGTTTCCTATTGACTTGTAAAGTAATACTGTTAGCATTAATGGTTGACATTAAAGGAAATTTCTACTTTTACTGGAAATTTTCTGCTTCTGGTCCCTATGTGGAGAGGCTACATTCATTCAGCCAAAAAGAAAAAAGCATTCACAAGAATTGTTTATTAATTTAAATAAGCGGCATTGTTTTCAATGCAGACATTCAAAGTTGTGTAAACATGCACTACGTTCAAACGCATAACGCAAAATCCAAAAATGTGCGTCTTAGGACATGTGTGTAAAAGCTAAAGCTAAGTAGCTAAAGATCTAAAGTATAATTTCAGCAGGAACAGATACAGAAAAACATCAATACATTTTTTACGGCCGTTTGAAGATATCCTTACTGTGTTTTTACTTTTCTGCACCTCTTGGAATTTGGTATTAAATCAAAAGCAGTCAAGGGATTATATAATAATATTAAATGTAATATTTGATATTATATTAATATTAAATGTAATATTTGTAAAAAGCATAGCCATTAATTTACACAGTACCATTGTATGAAATATGTATGTAATTTATACCAGACTTACCAGTAGGGCTAGAGCAATAGTCATAATGATCGCACAAATGCACATGCCTGCTAAGCCAATAATATAAAGAGATCTTCTTCCAGCTTTCTCAACAAGAAACAGCTGTAGCATAAGAAAATTGGTTGTGAGTAGCAAATAGTAGTTTATTTAAGCAACTTTATAGGTTTAAGCAGAATAAAAAATTAAACAAAAAAACACCACTGAATGATGTTGTATGAAATTCAGAACTCCAGGGGACAAGTTAGGGGTCTTACGTCAAATTCTGGAGCAAACAGAACTGCATTTTGTGCATCCACCTGCTGGCCACTACATCACTATTCCGTCCTGTATTGACATCAGAATAACAGCTGAAATGCCCTTCTTGTAGTAATGCCTATAGGCATGAGCCAAAACCTACCTAAATGAAAACCCAGCTCTGATTACGTACTTCTGATCCCACCTAGCTATTAATTATTAGATCCGGTATCATTAGTCTTTGACATGCTGCTCCCACCCTTTGACAGTTTTATATGATAGGAAACTAAAACTATATATTTTGTATATAAGAAATAAATACTATTAAAACAGGGATGACTTACAGTTGGTGGCTTACAATGTCCATTTAAAGTTGAACTAAAGCCTATTACAATGACAGTCTATTTGACAGCATCTCAATGCTAAACCTGTCATCAAATGTTAAAGTATATGTCTTAGTTTTTGAGTGATAAAGGGTGGGAATCCGGAGCGGACTAATCATTCGGGTACTCGGGCACTGCCCGAGGGCCCAGGTTCATTAGGGGGCCCCACGACATGCCCCAGTACCTTTCATAGGCTTTTTTTGGGTATTGTTTGAGTGTGGATGAGGACACAGGGGCCCCATGATCCCCTATTGCTCAGGGGCCCCATGAGTTGTCAGTCCACCCCTGGTGGGAACCCCTGTTGGTTTTTGCTGCTCTTTAAGGCTCTAGTAGAAAGATTTAATTTTACTTTCTGTCCTGTTGAAAGGAACTCTCCATCAGCAACATAGAAAAAAATATAGGTTTTTTTTTAGTATTGTAGTGTCCTTGTTGCATATTCTCCCTCAATTTCTCTTCTACAGAGGCCCATATAGAAAATAAAACCAGGCAGGAGTTCTAATTCTTCCCAATGGTGTCCAAAACTAGAAAAAACATTTTTGCCTTGAAATTATTATTTTTAAAAAAACATTTTATGTTTTATGATTAGCAATGAGGTATGGGTTTGTGGCTACCATAGCTTCAAGGCAAATCCTGTGGTGTTGGGATTTGTGGGCCCAGCTAAAAAAACATTTTATGGTTTATGATTAGCAATGAGGTATGGGTTTGTGGCTACCATAGCTTCAAGGCAAATACTGTGGTGTTGGGATTTGTGGGCCCTGCTAAAAAATTTTTGTTAGCAAATGCATGTTGGGATTTGTGGGCCCTGCAAACAAATGCATTTTTTAAACATTATGCACTGTATTGTCTTTGATGATGATCAGCAGACTTAGAAGGGCCAATTAGGGGGCTTTTTGATAAGCCAGTCCTCTCCACTTTAAAAGGGGGGCACATAAGGGTTGATTTATTGAAAGGAAATATGCTGTTTACTTTGCAAGGGAACTTTTCCTTAGTTTAGTGAATGTGGGAAAAAGTCAATTTGCAGTACCAATCATATGAAAGGAAAAAAAACGGTATTTTATATTGCATGATAAATGTCAGCAGAGGGTCACTTCATTCACATGCAAAGTAAACAGCCCATTTGCAATTCACACCATGGTCTACACTTTCACCACTAGTGTACAAATGTTTTCTATATACCCTGTTAACGCCAGAGCGACTATTTTCACACTGATCCGCCACAAAAATGCATAGGCGTTTTTGCCATGCTTTCTGAGCGTTTTTAAAGGACATGTGACTTACACCCCGTTCACATCAAGCCCGACTTTGAAATCGTGCAACTCACAGTTGCGCTATAAACAAAAAAGAGCAAAAAAAAAAAAAGGCTTTCTTTGTTCCTATTATAAAACTTTTGCAAACAAGTAATTTTTCTTCTTCACATGAGGCTGCTGCACTATGCTGATAGGTAGCACTGATAGGCTTGATGAGGCACTGTTGAGGTGAGGCTGAGGAGGCACTGATACCTGCAATTATGGGCCTTGTCACTTATAGGCTGTACTGTGATGGGCACAGTTGTGGTAAAAGGCCGCATTGGCCTTTTACCTTGTCATGTGATCACGTAGGATAGCAATCACAGACAGTGCCAGGTGACCACAGCTGGGGGCGCGTTCTGGGAGGACATCCATGGACGCCCTCCCAGAACTGGACAACTATGCTGTAGCAGTCTTTCGGATATAGTGCGGTTGGCAAGCGGTTAAAGTAGTAAAAGCCCCACACTGTTAGTCTCTAGTACATTTGGGCCTAGCCTTGCATTTTAAAATGGTCTGCTGTGTCATCTGTGGTTTCCTAACTCTTGTAGTATAACCCTGCTTGTACTCTTTTTCTCTAGTACATTAAAAAGTCCTGTTGCTGGCCAATTTTACACTGCTGATTAGGGGCAGGACAATTTTACACCAGCTTTGCTGGTCAAAGTGGGTCTGTTTTATTCCTGTTAAAACTACCTGAAAAAAGTATTTTCTCAAATTAAAATGAGTCAGATCTGAGTGGAGTGACTCTGCTTTGCAGTCACTTGTAAAAGAAAAAAAAATCAATTCCACAGCCAAATATTTTTGCTAGTGTATGTTGTTGCTGAGACTGTCTGTAAAATTGTACTGTCTCTCAACACCATGATGATTTTAAGGTAATCAACCAGAAGAGTGTTTTAAAGGACTATTTTCATTGTTTCCCTTGAAGCTGCATAAAAAGACCTTCTCCCAGCTGTATGGTATTTCTTTTATGCTTGCATTAGTTTACATCCCCTATGGCAGAGCCCAATTTTTTTTTTACATAACCCATTAAGTGTCATAAGTTTGAATTGTCTTTATAGCTAAAAAAAATGATATATTTTTCATGCATTTTTATTGGTTGAATGGGTATTGATATATATTTGAATTCCTGCTGTGGGTTTTATTGTATTTTATTATTAGGATCAGTGAGAGTATCTAATGAAATGAATTACCGTACTCTATTTTTAGAATGAAAGGAGATTTACATTTTACATTGTATCTTCTTTTTCTGTTTCTAGGATTAACCATTATCTAGCCTTTGTGGTAATAAATAACAGACTGCTCAGCTTGCTTTGCCAATTTCGTGGATGTCAGCATTTGATTTGCGCTTGACCTTGTAAGCTCAGATAAAATAAAATGCTTACAAGATAGAAAGAAACAGAATGCACTGCTCTGCCAGGTAAACTTCTAGTCAGCAATGTACCTGAGACTCCGCTCAACTCTCTAACCCAGATTAATCAACATGCTGGACAGCTGTGTCCGCCTCAGTGCCACAATATGTCTGAATTTGCAACCATTACCTTGGGTAATATTGCAAAAGATCTCTGTTGTGAAATATTCAGTAATACTTTAACCTGTTCTCAGCTGTTGTCTGGACATGCTCTTTATGTACACTGCTTGTCAAGTGATTGCTGTACAAAGCATTCTAAATAAGGGCTATTTACAGCTTAGTGAATAATTTGATGGTTTACTATGTATTCAGCATAGTTATGTCATCAAGAATTTACGGATCTGTTCAGAAGCCTACAGCACTGCAGGGGGGACCCTCACTCTACCTAGTCCCCATATGAATGGCTATTGCAGGAATGATCCTCATCTATTCCACTTGTGATGCAGTGGTGTCTATTTATATTCTGGGATTATGCACAAAGGACTCTTCCTGTATCTGCCCTTTTTATGATGGTGATCATGTATACTGAGATGTAGGGTATTTTGTTGCTTCATCTGCCCTACCTATCATACATTAGTGATCATATATTCTGGGTTAATGCACAAAGTATCCTCTTCATACCAGTGATACATTGATGACCATAAATGCTGAGATTATGCCAGGGGATCTTCACTGAATGTGCTGCACTTATGATGTAGGGGTAGCCATCTACACTGGAATTATGCAGGGGGATCCCACCTTTATCTGCCCCACTTATGATGCAGTGGTGGCCATGTATGCCATTATTATGCAGGGTATTTTAACAATTTATCTGTTGTAGTTATAGCCATGTATGCCATTATTATGCAGGATATTTTATTACTCGATATCTAATGTAGCTGTGGCCATGCATGCTGTCATTATTCTGGGTACTTGATCACTCTATCTGCCCCACCAATAATCTAGTGGTGGACATGTAATTATGCTGTCATTATGCAGGGCATGTCATCATTCTATTTCTATGCCTTCCACACCTTTGATGCAGTGGTGATCATATATGCTGGGATTATTCCAGGGAATCTTGATCGTCACTATATATGCCCCATCTATGATGTAGTTAGTGGGTGCTAGGTTCTCTCAAATATCTGTCCCTTATTTGGTAATGTGCTGGACAAGTATGCAGCGGTGAGAGGCGATATAAACCATAAATGCATAGATGGCAAGGATATACAGTATGAGAATAATTGGCATGGTTCAGTTCTTTATGCTTAAGGGCCCCTACCACACTCACATTATTCCACACATGTTGAATTTTGTCATCTGGCACACCAAAAACTAAACCTGCCCTTTTTTTTTTCGGTATAGCACATCATAATGCACAGTACTGCATTACCATGTATTGTGGTGTGCTGCAGTCCAGGTACATTGCCTTAGTGCATTGGGGTGCCATTCAGAACAAATGGTACAGCAACATACTATTGTGTGCAAGCTGTGATACTACGCAGTGCAGTAATGTGGGCCTTCTCAAAATGCAAAGGCATGTAGCCAGCCTACAGAAATAAAGATATTTCATAGAAAAAATGTCCTCTACCCCTCTCAGTGTAGCCTTCCTTCAACTGTAATGACAACATTTATGAGTACTTTATGTGCATACATATGTTTAATTTTTCAGAGTGGTATAGTTACCAAGCCTGATAACTTACTGAAGCAATAGTGGCAACTGTGTTGACTGCACCTACTCCAATGGTGGCATATACTGGCTGGCTAATTCCTGCTTTAGTAAAGATGCTTGTAGAATAGTAGAAAATCTGTTAAACAAAATACAAATTAAAAATTGCTGTATAGAAGGTTTGGATGAAAAAAAAAAACTCTTACTATATCACTTTGACCTTGTTCCCTTTGTACAAAAGGAAGCTTCTTTTGATGTTATTGCTGACTAGTTACAACCAGATAACATACTGTCAGCTATGAACTAAACAAAATATGCACAGGCAGATTGTGACATTGTGTGTATTGCTTTCTCAGCCTAATGCTAGGTAGAAGTCTCCAAGATGCAAATATGGGAAAAACTGAACAGTTCTGACCAAAGGTTTTACCAGACATATAACACATAGGATATCAGACTACTGGGCTGAAACTAATAGGCTCACAGTCCAATGTAAATAACATATTTATGGGCAGATTAATAAAGCAATCTGACATTCACAAAGCATTCACTGTAGGTGAATCCTTCTGGTGCATGTGTTTAAATCACAGTGATTTATTAACACCCACTAAATGTTTGGTGAAAATCACAAAGACCAAAGAATGAGTGTATTTGTGCAGCAGGTAGCAAAAAGTATTTATGATCAGCAGATCATTGACAGGCAAACAGACAGTTGGGGCTGTTTGCATGTGATCCTGCTTCAAGTGGTTACATGCAGTTCGAGACAGATGAGTGTTCCTAGACTCAAGCTCTCTGTGTCCAAGGCAGCTCATCTAATCAACCACATTTACCACTTGATGGGCAATTACATGGAAACTTACTTTCTATTGTTGATGTAATCCACTTGTGCTACCTGCTGCACAAACACGCTAATTTTTGGAGGTGTAATGCCCTACATGACCATGTGAAGGAGGTCTCAGTTTAGTCCCTACCCCAGAGGATCGTACATGATAATGTCCCTGTCACAGTCATACACAAGTATAGTGAAGGAAAAATTTGGTCTGAAGCCAGAAAAGATATTAGTATGAAAAAACTGTCTGAAGACCCACACACATGGAGGGTATACAATTCTCCATGCAAATAGGAATGAATTAATCACTCTCCAGCATTACAAGGCAAGAGTGCTAGCCCCCCATTGAAGAAAATATACAAGGTGGTATCAAAAAGTTTCAATACTAGCTCTGTTTAAAAGAAAATACATTATTTTTCTATGCTTACACACTATCACCTTGAAAATAATCCCCTTGTATAGCAATACAGCACTCCTGCCACTCTGGAATGTGTCTTTTAGCTCTACTTTTCGAAGCATGTCAAGAACCTTCTGCTATTTGCGCTGAATCTCCTCAATATTGTCAAAACGGATCTTCTTCCGGAAGAGGGCAAATCCACATGAGCCAAATCTCGCAAGTAGGGTGGGTGCAGAAGTGAGATCATTGCAGCTTGGGGACAAACATGGGAGCAACACGGCACGTGTTCAAATTACACATGAGGATTGCCTGGACTGTTCCATATGACACACCGACAATGGTAGCAATGTTGTGGATTGTTCTCCGACAATCATCATGCACAAGTTGCTGAATGGTTTTGACATTTCAACATTTTTGGGGCTTGAGCTCATTGAAGGTCTTCCTGATCTCTTGTTGTCTTCCAGTAATGTTCTTCCGCTCTTGAAGCACGCATGCCATTCAACACACCTCAAACGACTCACAGCGGCATCGCCATAAACTTGCTGAATCATGTCAAACGTCTCTGTGGCAGATTTGCTCAGTTTCACGTGGATTTTCACATTTGCTCTTTGTTCTAACTTGCTGTCCGTGACGAAATAGCAGACGTGGTAACGCACATGGTCTGAATAGCACCAGTTCACAGCTACCGATGTACACAGGACAATGTCTTTTTGGCACACTGACTTATGAAGGTCGGTGCTCCCTATGACTATGTGGTGTTACAAAACTAGTCTTGAAACACTTTGATACCACCTTGTGTGTGTGTATGTATATATACATGTCATATGTCACAATGTAGGTGCTCTGCCAGTCCCAATTATTAATTCCTTATTAATTCCGTCCCAATCAAAGTACCTTTTTGTCTTATTAATTCCGTCCCAATTAAAGTACCTTTTGTGCAAACTAAAGTACATTCCAGTCCCCAATTCAATTAGTGCCTTTTTCAGTTCCCAAATTCCATTAATATATTTCCTCCACTTGTGACCAGCTGTCATCCTGCCAAATGGCCCCCCTCCACCTCTCGTCCTGCTGCGGCTCTTTGAAGCTGAGCCACGCAGGACAAGAGGTGCGGCTTCTGTCACCTCTGCCACTATCTCCTCCCCACGAGAGGTGGGAACCTCCTTCGGAGATGTTCTGGACCGCGGCGTCAGACTGACGCTGCACGATCCCAGCATCTGCAGCGCGGGCATGGAGAGTTCCCGCACTTGCGGATGCCGTTGGACAAAGGCCACGCTCATGAGAGTGCGACCCAGGTCCAGGGGGGCGTGCCTCGTTACCGAGTGATGAGGCACGCCACCCATGCCCGCCCACCATTGGTTTAAGAAGACCGATGCCAGGCTCTTCCCGGTCATCCATTCCGCTGCCAAGCCACAGAGGGATCCCAGCTGAGGCAGGACCCTCGTGGCCACTCTGCATAGACCCCAAGGATAAGGGGGAGCCTCCGCAAGCTGCTGCCGCTCTGCAGAAACCCCAGGGAAGGGGAGACCTCCACAGCTGCCTACTGCAAACCCCCAGAGGAGAGGAGAACTCCGCAGCTGCCGCTCTGCAACCCCCAGGGAAGGGGAGACCTCAGCAGCTGCGCTGAAAACCCAGAGAAGGGGAGATCTCTGCAGCTGCCGCTCTGCAAGCCCCAGAGAAGGGGGAGACCACCGCAAGCTGCCACTCTGCAATCCCCAAGGAAGGGGGAGAGCTGCCTACTTTAAGCCCCAAGGATGGGGGGGGAACTACGCCAGCTGCCCTCTGCAGGTGCCCAGGACTTGTGGGGATTATTACCACGGACTACGTCACACATCATACTCTGGATTCAGGGCAAGTACTCACTGTTGTACTGTCTTGCTCCTCGTGGACCCAGGCACCCCTGCCGGATCCATGAGTATATGCTCCCCTGTTTTTCCCTGAACTGTTCTTGTACTCAATCCCCACCTCCCTGTTTGGATTACAAACTGCTCTAGAGACTTTAACCCTGCTCTGGGGCGGGACTACAAGTATTTTGGGCCCTCTCCTTGTTATTTCTCCTACTTGAGTGACTGTCATTTGCCTTAATAAAGCTTTGTGTGTTTGCCATCCGCTTTGTGTGTTCTGTCCTGCCTACCCTCCGTCACAATATATATATATATATATATATATATATATATATATACACACACACACATTATATTGCCAAAAGTATTGGGACAACCCTCCAAATTATTGGATTCAGGTGTTCCAATCACCTCCATGTCCACAGGAGTATAAAATCAAGCACCTAGGTATGCAGACTGCTTCGCTGACCTCAACCCTTTAGAACACCTTTAGGATGAATTAGAACAGACAATGCGAGCCAGGCCTTCTCGTCGGCCATCAGTGCCTGACCTCACAAATGCGCTTCTGGAACAATGGCCAAACATTCCCATAGACACACTTCTAAACCTTGTGGACAGCCTTCCCAGAAGAGTTGAAGTTGCTATAGCTGCAAAGGGTGGGCCAACTCAATATTGAACTCTACGGACTAAGATTGGGATTCCATTAAAGTACATGTGCATGTAAAGGCACGCATCCCAGTATATATATATATATCACTACCCCCTTAGGAGTTGCTGAAGTTTTGGGTTCCCCCTATAGTCCTGCACCGACAGACAACAAGCATTTCCACATAGACTTGCATTCAGGAGTCAGTGATCAGTCCTTGAGCTTGTTTTGAAATTTTATTAGGGGATTTAGAACTTGGATGGGGTAAGGGGTGTACAGGATGCCCAATGGAACTGAAAAAACTGAGGACAACTTTCTGAACTATGTAAGAGTGGTTACAGCAAACAGTCTCTTTTGGAGAGCTAGCCAGTGTCTCCTGTAGTGCCACCCCAGACGCTCCTTTTTTCTGGCTGCCTGGAGGAATCTTTGGACAGGGGATCCAGTGTCTGCTACATAAAATGGTGAAAGAGTCCTGAGTGGCAGGCTAATCCAGTTTCCCACTAGAGTGCCTCCTTCCCCTATTTGGCTCAGGGGGTGCAGGTCTACTCACTTAGTCCTTCTCCTGTATTGCTGGTGGGTCAGTGACTGCTACCAGGCCTTCTAGCTGGGCCACTCCTTCTCTGCCAAACAGGTGGTTCTCTCTCAGGAGGGCGGTGAAGTTCCAAGCTTTCAGCCTTTCCAGGTCCTCCTGCCTGGAGTTAAGACCCTCTCCCATCTGGGACCCCTCCCAGGCTCCTGCTCTTCAGCCTTACAACCTCCTCTTCCACCCGAACTCTCTTCCTACTCCCCTGCTCCCACTCTCTCTCTTGCTGAGCATGCTCAGTTACTCTTAAAGGTTGTCTTGGCCCCTTGCCAAGCCTCCTGTTGGGGATTAACCAGGATCCTCTAAGAGTACAGACCATCCACTGCTTGTAGACCTTTCTCCAAAATTCTAGAGCGGAGGGAAATTCCAGAGGGCTGGTGTCTAGCAGTCAGCTGATTATAAAAGGGCATTACTTAACAAAGAAAACCCCTTTCTATTTCATGCTGTCAGCAATAGCACCACATGGAAAAGAAATGTCCAAAGGCCTGAAAAAGAACACAATTTCTTTACACAAGAAAGGTGAAGGCTACAAGAAGATCAGCAAAGCTTTACTTATTAGTCAGAATAATGTCGCAAAAGTGGTACAAAGATGGAACTGCAACCATCTCAGAGAGACATCCAGGCCATCCACGGAAGTTAACACCTCAACAGGAGCGTCTTCTGATGAGAAGTTAGCTAAAGTAGTAGAAAGCCAAACAGGGGTGATTGTTTTCCGTGACACAATATAGGAGATTTACTAAAACTGGTTGACTCAGAATCTTGGGCACCTGTGCATGGTAGCCAATCAGCTTCTAACCTCAGCATGTTCAGTTAAGCTTCAGCAATAAAACCTGGAAGCTGATTGGTTTTTTTATGCAGAAGTGGACAAGATTCTGAGTCAACCAGGTTTAGTAAATAAACCCCAATATGGCATACACCTCAGAGGAATAGCATGCATGGGTGTCGTCCATGAAGAAAGCCTCTCCTAAAGCCCATGCACAAAAAAGCCCACCTAGAATTTGCCAGGGCCCATGCTGAAAACAAAGAAGGCTACTGACACTCTGTACTCTGGAGTGATGAAACCAAGAAAATTTTTTGAATGGATGGCTTCAAAACTGTATTGTGTCGCAAAAGGTGAGGAGTACAAAGAAAAATGCATGGTGCCTACAGTGAAACATGGTGGTGGCAGTGTCCTTCCGTGAGGCCGCATGAGTGCTGCTGGTGTCAGGGAGCTCCATTTTATTGATGGTATTATGAATTCACAGATGTACTGCTCTATATTGAAATAAAAGATGCTACCATCACTCCGTGCTCTTGGTCGTCGTGCACTTTTCCAACATGATAATGATCCAAAACACACATCTAAGGCCACTGTTGCATTTCTGTAGAAGAACAGGATGAAAGTGATTCAGTGGCCAAGTATGTCTCCTGATCTGAACCCAACTGAACACCTATGGGGAATTTTGAAGAGACAAGTTGAGCACCACTCTCCATCCAGCATCCAGGCTCTAAAGAGGTCGTTCTTGAAGAATGGATAAAGAGAGATGTTGCAATATGTCACCAATTTGTTCATTCAATGCCTAGAAGACTCGGTGCTGTCCTTACAAATCATGGAGATCATACAAAATACTAGATGTAGTAGTTTTTGTTGTGGGGTGTATTCATTTTTGCATCAACTATTTTGGGTAAAACTGAAGATTTTGTAATCTAAGTTATATTATTAACCTTACTTTCATGTAATGAGCGAAACAAATGTTCTATAAAACTCAGTTTTGTAAAAATTTTGAAAAATGTTCTTGTGTTCATTGAGATTGATTGATTAAAATCTTACTTACATTTTTGGAAATGTTGGGAGGAAGGATTAAATGGATATGGTTGTAATTAATTTTGCTGGTGGATTTGCTGCATTTGTTGGCAAGCATGCTGTGCGTTTATAAGACATACTGTAATTATTTCTCAAAATTAACAAAAATTGTAGCACTTACCCCATTGATTCCTGAGAACTGCTGAGATATGTGCAATACCAGTGAAACTATAATTGGCTGTCTGTAATTTGAAGACTTAAATAGCTGTAAAATGGACACTTTCTTTTCACTGGCTACTTCTTCCTTTTCCCTCCTCATCTCCTCGATGTCTTTGGATGGGTCATAATCTCCTCTAAACTTTTTCAAAACTGCACATGGGACACAAAAATCAAGAGAAAAACAGGGTAAGGCCATGGGATTGCAATTGTTAATCTGAATGTCTTTTTCTTGGTTTTAAGTAAATTTACAACTTTTACAATCATCTTTCTTAATAAATATTATAGGTATAAATATTGTAGGTATTATATTGTTTTTTCATTACACAAGATTGTAATTCTATAAATCCTTTTTATAGAAGTCTGACTTGTAGTCTGAGTTTTTACAGCTGCTATCCATAGATTGCTATAGAGCTGTCACATAAGACAAGGGAGCAAGCAATCGCTTACAACACCATGTTTGCATTGGTACTGTTAGATGGGATAGCAAGAGTAATGGCATGGGACATTATAACATGTTATTTCTCATAAAGCTGTTTTTTAAATTTCTTTACTCTATTACTAATGTAAACTCTAGGCACAATATGCTGTATATTTTTTACTTCTTTTTTAATGTTGTATTTCATTCTGTAGTCTTACATCCTGCATTTTCAGCCTAATGATATACTATTTTACCAGAGCGTGTAATTAATTACTCTACTTTTGGACTTAGTTTACACTTGCAGTTGGACTTCATTTGTAGCTGAATGGGGGTATGCACATAGCAAAAAAATTTCCCGTCACGTTTGGCATTCAGAACCTCCCATCAAACGTGATCTATTAAAATAAATGAGGCCGTGCACACAGTTGCGCCATTGTTGTGTGGCAGTGAGGATGCAACATACCTCCACCATTTTCCAAACACCTTTGAAATAGGGCAATGAATGTGAAAATGAGTCCTAGTTTCAATAGTGAATGAATATTTGCAAAGCTCCAGTAGAGTAAGGTGTGCTAACCACAAAGTCAAAACCAAGACTCAATCATCTGCAATGTTAGTTTGCTAATGTATTAAATGCTATTCCCAGCTTTGAAACATACAAGCTCATGTATTAGTGTTGGACATTGCTGTGCATTTGCTTGACATAGTCAAGGGGTGGGGGGAGTCTTTTGGCTCCTTAAACTCAATCACTGTCTTATACATATGGCCAGTTTTATCTTCTATAACACATTTTGGAACAGATCCTATAAAATGCACCTTTATTAAATCTTTCTTAAATTTGTAAAACATTATTATGCTAATACCATGTACCATGTACAAGATTTCATTTTTGAAGAGGTTATATTGCTGATTTAAAAAGGCACATTTATAAAACACAGCATTGTTTTTCACAAATGTTTTTAGCATATTTCATATTCGGTAAGAAAGCAAAAATCGGTGGGCATAGGAGTGCCTGGTTACATAACTTGTCAAAGTCACGTGACTGGGCTCTCCTGCTATCATAAAGGGTTTCTCTGTAGTGTTATTTTGATATCTGCCTTTAATCTGCATATTGATTTGTGGATTTCCTATTTAGAAAGAAGATACATTAGGCCTTGTTACCATCATAAACTTGTAGGCCAGTACATAGGACAACAATCTAAGAGGTTAATGCAACAAACAAATCTGATATATATGCGATATATGTGTAGCATCCTCTAGTTTGCTACTAGAGTAGTGTAGGTAAATTTATTGTGTATGACTTACAGTAACTGTGTGAGTCTGTACTTAGGTCAGGTTACTGCAGGTCAGGCTGGATGGCTTTACAGGTTGGACTCCTCCATCACCTTCTGTAGGACCATGGAACCTTCCAGAAGCCAGTGGGCAGAAGGGGTGGAGACCTAATGTGCATGTTTATTGGAGTCTAATCAATCCCAGGTTTAGATGCCCTGGTGAAGTGGTGAGACCAACCCATAAATATGGGAGAGTCAGGCTGGCAGGGGAGTCAGGTGGAAGATGAAGTGCTGAGGAGACTGTCGGTGGCCTGGTAGGGGCCCCCTAGGTCTGGGAGGGGCTGGCATCCAGGCTGGGCTGGGGCTGGTTCAGGAGGGTCCATTCAGCAACACGGTAAATGAACAAAATCCTTACCTGGGAGCAGTGGGAGCAAAGAGGACAGAGTGAGTACATCAGCACATCCAGGGATCTACAAGGGGACAGACTGCCACATGTAACAAGCTTTCAAAGGACTGCACAATGCTTAATCTTTTATCCTTTTCCTGGTATATCTTCAGAGCCGCCAGGGGGGCTGGTAGTGTCTGCAGGCTGTGGAGCTGGGAGTAGTTCTACAGAGGAGAGGAGACATCTTTGTCTAACTTTCAGAGGGGCTGCAAGTACCTAACCCATAATGTGGCAGTTGCTACTGATCCGTAATGAAAAGAACAGTCCGGGATCTGTTTTTGTAAATGGGAAGGAAGTTGTCCCTTTGCATTGATTCAGTCAATGTGGACATCTCATGATCCCTATTACCCTATCCAAGTTACATCCCCCAATATATAACAAAAAACCAAGCCCATGGACTATTCACCGACTGTGGATGCATGTGTGGAAAGTACGTGTTGCCTGGCTGTGTGAAACTTAGAGGGATCCTGAAACACAGCAGCCTTCAAGAGGGTAGCACTACATACTGTATGTCCAGTTTGTTTTTCTTTCTTGTAAAACAAACAGAAAATATCTGGATCAAAAAAGGTGATAAAAACAAACAATTCATTTAAAGCTCAGGTACATGGGTGCACTCCCTCTTAGGCTAGGTTCACACTGCTGCGATCAGATTTTGATCTGACTTTCAGTGCGATTATGTAATGCAACTTGGATGTGGTTTACATTTTCTATGGAGCTAAAAACCATGCCATGCTCAGTTGTATTTATGTGAACAGCACCATCTCACCTACATACAGCCAACTATTGACATGAATGAATGTAGGAGGCTGTACATTGGTGTGCTCCACTACCTCTGTAAAGTAGCACATTAAGGATTAGCACACAGACTGCACAGTTACAGTATATGGTAGCTTTGTATATAAACTGCTTCCCATCTGCCCTATAGCATAAGTACTGCTACATACTTGCCGGCGCCCCGGTGATTGCCGAGCATCTCCGTTGGGGGGGGGAGAACTGTTTGTAAACAAAACAGTTCTCTCCCCTGCCAGCTCCTGCACACTGCTTTGCATGGCTGTGCACAGCACAGCCATGCAAAGCAGTGTGCTTACAGTGAAGCACACAGACACAGCCCCTAGTAAAACAGCACACAGTTAACCCTTTGATCGCCCCACATGTTAAACCCCTTCTTGCACAGTGCCATTAGTACCGTGTCAATGGTTTTTATTAGCACTAATCACTGTAATGTTGTCACTGGGGATGTCGGTGACACCAAGTCAGTTCCCCCCAGTGTCGTGACACCAAGTCAGTTCCCACCAGTGTCAGAATGCCCGCCGCAATCCCGCTATAAGTCACTGATTGGCACCATTACTAGTAAAAATTAAAACAAACAAAAAATCCTAGTATATATATACCGCCATTTGTAAACGCTGTAACTTTCACATAAACCAGTTATTTACACATATTGGTTTTTTTTTAGCAAAGACATGTAGCAGAATACATTTTGGCCTAAATTTATGATGAAATTTGATTTTTAAATTTTTTTACTGGACATGTTTAATAGCAAAAAGTCAAAAATATTGCTTTTTTCCTCAAAATTGTCAGTCTTTTTTTGTTTATAGAGCTAAACACGCACAGGCGATCAAATGCCACCAAAACGAAAGCTCAATTCATGGGAAAAAAAGGACGTAAACTTAATTTGGGTGCAGCGTTGCATGACCGTGCATTATCAGTTTAAGTAACACAGTGCCGTATCGCAAAAAATGGCCTGGTCTGAAAGGGGGGTAAATCCTCAAGAGGGCAAGTGGTTAATAATAATAATAATAATAATAAATAATAATAATAATAATTATAATAATATAAAGCATCCAGTACTGCATTTTTGTGTTGTTCTCACCAGTAATAATGTCCTCAGTCTCACATGACGATGTGTGGGATTTACAATTGGCAGCATAGGAAATGAGCTCTGCACTGTAGGAAGTAGGGAGGGAGCATCACCTGTTACCGCCATAGGTAAGGTACTCAGGTACTGGAGTAGCCAGAGCAGCAAAGTGAGTTGGCGGGAGAGCATGGAGAAGGGTAATATTAACTGCTAGTGGTGCCGATTGCAGTTGCAGAAGTAAATGAGGGCTTTAGGACTTTCACTGCTCCATTATTCAAAGAGATTCTTAGTATGGTCCTCTGGACAGCAGACAGTGCATAGACACCTGCACTCAACTTCAGTGAATAAAAGTGCCTAATGTTCAGAGGTTTAGCTGTTGTTAAGGAAATGCAGGCAATAAATGGTGGTCAGAAATTCATGCTAATTTTGTGACTGCCAAGAGATATTTCCTACTAAAGATAATTCCACAATTAAAAACATTGGCATCAGCCAAGCAAGCTTGTTTAGGAGATAAGAGGGAGGTGCATTAGGACTGTTGTGGGCTTCCAGAGTCCCAAGTCCCAATCAGGGGTGGACTGACAACTCATGGGGCCCCCGGGCAATAGGGGATCATGGGGCCCCTGTGTCTTTGCCCAAACTCAAAAAAGCCTATGAAAAAGGTACCAGGGGCATCTCATGGGGCCCCCTACTGACCCCGAGCCCTCGGGCAGTGCCTGAGTTTCCAAATGGTCAGTCCGCCCCTGGTCCCAATACAAGACAAGGCAAAAAAGCACTGGTTTGGTGTGTGCTGGAAAAAGTACAGCATGCAGTACTTTGGATTATTCATTGGAATTGTTGAGCTGTTGCTCACATGCAAGAGGGCAATCAAAAACAAGGGGCTTTAAGCACCTAGAGAGATTTTCCAACTGGCAGGATCGCAGACTTCACTCCTCTGTGAATCAGAGTGAAGGAACAGATGTTTTTTTAAAACTTACACCGCTGTCAGTGTCATGAAAGGAATGTAGTGGGTCTTAATGCTGATGAGATTCATGTAAGGATAAGAAGCTGTCTAACTGACTATCATTTCTGGGAAGATATCTGCCCATCTATGGCCAATCGTAGATTGTACAGATGGCTATTAGATGTGCAGTTCCAATCCAACCATTTTGAGGTTCTATGCAC